CCTTTCCTTGGGTCTCTACTCCTCATACAAATCTTTCCAGGATTCAAGTGCGGTCTTGTTACAAGAGTTAAACTCAGAACGTAAAGCTTGCTGACCTCATGTTCAGCTATTTTCTAATCACAAATACCAGATCAGCTGTGACTAGAAACTAAGGAAAAGCAGAGTATAAAAGAACTTAGAAGAACTTTTCCATACTGACTTCTATTTCAGTTGTTTCCACTTTTGAATCTCAATTGCTTGGTTTTTATCGTAACAATACCTTACTTCCAGATGCAAAACAAGCCAGTTTTGCTTCATCTCAGAATTGTCAGGGCCAAGGTACTTGAAAGATTAACAATCTAATTGAGGCCGAGGGTACATTGCCTACTTGCAATATAAACTAGATATTAACACAGGGAATTATAAAAAATGCTTATGTTGGAAGCTAGCAAGCTCACATTCTGGAACTAGGGAATATACATTGAATTATTATTTATTTTCAGAATTGATTGCAACTTTGCTTAAAATAAGATCTGTCGTCATTAAATTGTAAGTGCACTTCTGCTAATTCAGGAAAGCAAAAGTTAAGGAAAACTAATTCAACAGGTATTTGGGGCATTAGTGTAAGTAATATCATACCATAAATGGTTAAAGTGCAGTCACTTGTTAGTTTAGTATGTGGCTAATATCAAACTGATTATTCTTCAGGTAAATAATCACACAAGAATTAAGTGGCTATGTTCAGTGAAATATGAAAAATGGCCAATCCTTTAAGAGGTGAAGTGCTGAATCTTTACAAAAATGTAAGTGTCTTGAATGCAATTAGCACTTTTGCTTAACTAGATAAAAACATTTTTGCCACATATTGCTAAGTTCTAAAATATGTTTTTGTTTTTAAAGCTGCTGTACCTTGGAAGGGAATATCCCAAAGGAGCAGACTACTTTAGAAGCCGTTTGAAGGCAGCTTTCCTAAAAAATAAGGATGTGAAAGATCCAGAAAAAATTAAGCAACTAATTAGTCGTGGAGAATTTGTAATAAAAGAGCTAGAGGCCTTGTATTATCTCAGAAAGTACAGGGCTATGAAACAGCGCTACTATGAGGATGACAATAAGAATAAGTGATGTGCAATATTGTTGACCCTGCGCTTGTAACAATGCAAGTTAGTGGCTAGGATGAATGAATAAAGAAGAATGGTTATGTTAAAGGCAATGAGACTTAAATATTTCCAAACCAAAGGACATATTTGATCACCATGTCAGTGGCTACATTACTACATTTCAAGTGGCTATTTTAATTATTTGAATATAAAGTTCTGTGGCATGCAGATATGATCTTATACTCCTAGCTTAGAGGTTTTGTCCGCCATTCTGATCTATCTTGAACTGAAGCTTGATGCGCAAAAATGCTCTGATAGAAAGTTAACCTAATTTGGTTCTTCACTTTGTTTTCTTCACTGAACAGATGAATTTAAAACTGAATGCAGATCAGGTAGCTCATATATGAAAAAAGCTGTTGATTAATTGCAGTTAACTCGTGATTAACTCAAAAAAAATCACAATTAAAAAAAAATCACATTTTTAATCAAACTGTGAAAATAGAATACCAATTGAGATTTATTATTTTGGATGTTTTTCTACATTTTCATATATATTGTATTCTGTTGTAATTGAAATCAAAGTGTATATTTTTATTACAAATATTTGCACTGAAAGAAACTGGAACAAAGGATAGTAACTATGGGGGTGTGAGTGATTGCTGGATGCAGGCTAGGAAGGAGTCCAGTCTGCGAAAGAAGAACATCTTCTTGGAACATCTCTGGGGGTGAAATTTCATTTCCAGGCCTCCTATTCCTCATTTCACTCCCCAACACCATTCTCCTTGTCCAAGCAGGCCCAGTCTTTCCCCCTCAACATCCCCTCCAATTCCCTGTCTCATCTTCTCTCCTGCACTCCCAGTCTCCCTGTCCAAAGGTACTCTGCCCCTCCCAGATCTGACTCTGGTCTCCTCTGCATTTGAATCAGGCAACTCCCTCCTCAGTGACCAGGCAACATTGAGAGCACAGAAAAGGGGCTTCATGCTCTCAGTTCTGGTGCCAAGCTAGCAACAGCCCAGAAAGCCAATTGCAGGAAAAGTTCTGCCCAGCCACAGGTTGGAGCACACCAAGTGTGGACAGAATCTTCAGGTAATATAGCTACAAAGCTCTAGCAAGTCTGTATGTGTGAATTGTAATTTTTTTCCAAAGGCTTAGAATCTGGCCACATTTGGGCAGATTTTCATAGGGATAGTAGCAAAACGAGGACCTCAGGCAGAGACCACCTCAGCCAAATTTCTAGTCCCTGCTCCAAAGCACAGGATCACTGATACCATTCAGAGAAAAGGTTGCCAGAAATTTTTAAACTTGGGCAAAACAATGTATTTTTCCCTAGCTTCATTCTCAAACAGCTGAACCATTTTGGCTAAAGTTCATAAGCAGCAGCAGCAGACACCCAGCATGGAAAATTTCAGCCCAAACTATTCAAGTTTGGCAAAGTTACAAGCAACTGAAAATAGGGTGTTATAGTAATACATGAACAATAAAGACCTGGACCAGTGTCCTAGAACGTTTTGCCCAAATTTATTCATGACAGCTTTCACAAAGGAAAGAATCCTCCTGTAAAAAGAGGGAGTATATGACCGTAAATAGGGGGGTAGGTGGTTTGCACAAAAGTTGATGGGCAAAGATGACTGCAGTGTGGTTGGTAATCAAAACAGCAAGAGAAATTAAGAGGGGCTGCCAAATAAATGAAGTTCATGGGGTACTTAACTAATTATAAAGATTAGCATTACATTTATTGGAAGGAGCAACAAATTAAATATCAACAAAAGTTCACAATAACTATTTTTATTACATTACAATAAATAGGAGCAGTACAATTTGACAAAAAATGACAAATTTCAGATCACCTCACAGCACATGCTCCTATAAAACATTAAAAAGTTTAAACAGTGGTCATTCTTTTAATTTAATGTCTGGTATGACCAATATTCATAGGTCACGCAACCAAATGATGGGAAAACTGGATCACACTGCATATATTCCACATCAAAAAAAAGCACAATGTACAAAATGTGCATGTTTCAGTTTACACTATACAAAAATAGTTAAAATACATTCCAGGTAAACATATTACATTAAGAAATTGTTCTAGTAAGAAGTTGGCACTCAAGAGGAAAAAGCAGAAGTATTTTCAACATGAAAACACAAGACAGTGGAATTATTAGGAAATGTTAGGAAAGATTACTGCCTATGTAGCTTTATGCAGACTTTACAAAAAGAGCCACAGCTTGATGGCCTTAGAAGGAAATAGTTGTATTGCTTGATAGTACTGACAAAAGAATGGAAGTTTATGTAGGAACTATTACAGTAATAGCATTTTAAATGGTGAATTTTTTTTTACATAATCTCAGCCAAACAAGATTTTAGGACAACTGTATAGGTTAAAAGAATCGAAAGAATAAAATTTCAGTTTTAAGGTAACTGATGACCTTTTTTTTTTTAAAAGGTGTTTACCAAAAGTTACATAAAGCTACTATCAGGCATTGGAAATCTAATGTATTAATGTAGTAAGTGACTTCACATGTTCATTTAATAGTTACTATCAGAAAAAGATAGCAATCTGGATATGTTCTTGGAAAGCATTTCAAATAGGGAAAGGCAGAATAATTATTAGATCAACTTGTGCAAGCTGCAATTCAACATGCCTCACCAAGTCTCTACAAATATTAAGACAAAACTGCACAACAGTGGCAAGGATGAGCGTATTTTGTGAAAGTTAGATCATAAAGGCTGGTCTAAACTGTTTTAATATCTATTCAAATGAATTGGTAGTTTACAGATTAAATTTATTAAAATAAGCTATCTTGGTATAGATACTTTTATACTGATAATTGCATCCACATTTGAAAGCTGCACCAATTTTAGCTAAATCAGTTTTTCTACCAATTTAGTTAAATTGATAAAAACTGTCTAAATGAGCCCTAAATTTGCATGCAGTGTGACACAGTTACAAAAAGTCATAAGTCTTAAGATTCTATTTCTTGTTTGTTCAAGTTACACTATCCACTTCTGCTACGTTCTTCCAATATGTTGATAGTAGTGTCTAAAAATATGCAATTAACCAACAAAATCTCAACCTCAAGATGTTTTAAACTTAGAAGTTGCAAATAAAACATTAGATGTTTACACCATGTACCGGGATTTGTTCCCGCTTCCTATTGGTCCTAAATTAGGATGTAACATTATGTTCTCTCACCACCATCTTTCAGTATTTTTTTTTTCCCCCTTTTGGCCATATGTATGAAGTATACCCTGCAGCTTGGGAAAGAATTTTTTAAAAAATTCAGAAATGCTTTCCCAGCCACACAAAATGTAAGGGTCATGCAGAAATACAGGTAGTATGTTTACTACACCCCTAGCCACCATTGCAGCTCTCCTTCAAATATGGCTACTACTGCTCCCCATGTAGAAATAAGAGGTCATTTTGCACATGTAGTTGTACCTTTGATATTGTACATGCGTTTTAAGTTACGCTGCTCCATGAAAATCCTATTCTGTGAAAAACTAAGTGTGCAAACTCTGTTTAAAAGTTTCAGGATAACTTGGGAATAGCAGTTTTGCCTATCATGACCACTGAAAATTCATGAATCATGCCCCAACAAATCACAAGGTTTTAAAGACCAATACACGTTGTGTATTATTTGCCTTCTGCTGTTCAATCATTTAGCATACAGTTGAGTCACATTTTCAAGCTCTTCCCTGCAACTATGAGGGCTAGAAGCATTAGAAAAGCAAGCTGAGATTCTCATGTAAACTCAACTCAACTCCAGGAGTGGGGCCTTAAAAAAAAAAAACATCAAATTTACTAAACTCACGATGAAAATCACAAGAGTTGGCAACATGAGATAGCTGGCTCTCAGTTCGATGCAGATTAACCAAACTATTGTATACTGTAAATGAAAGCTTCTTCAAAATAATGGATTAACTCCAATCAGAAAAAAATCACAAGAAAAAATCACTCTGGGAACAACAACACTGAAAACCTGGTTTCGATGTGTAACAATCTTGACATTTTATTCCACTAAACAACCATATAATCTGTGAAACAAAATTAGTATTTCACAAGAATCACAGCAGAACACAAAACAACATTAGCTCTGGAAACCATAATATCAGCTATGCCTACTGAATGTTTGTGCAAATTCTCCATCATCCCCATATTTATGGCATAGTGGATTTCCAACTAATCTGTATGAAGCAGCTGAATTCAAGTGCCATTACTGAATCTAAAGAGGTTACTGGACTTTAAAATGCCTCCCCTATTATACAGAAAATGGGCATTTGGAAATATTTAATGCCACTCTTGAAAAAATGGTTCTGACATCTATAAAGGTAGAGGTCCTGACCTAATTTTTAGGATTAAACTCTGAATCAACATATGAATTAACTTTTGTAAGTGTCTGAATTACTCATTTGTTAAGGCTTTCCAGTATTTCTTAGAAGTGACACTGAGGGTGAAATCCTGACCCTACTGAAACTACTTTGAAATTTGTCAGTTACTTCAGTGGAACCAGGATTTAACCCTGGGTCTCCTGACACAAAAAGTTAGTGAAAGTCTTAAGCAAAGCATTACAATAGCAAATCAATTTAATTAGAACTTTTACTTTTTCCATTGCCAGATGTGCACTATTGTCTTTTTTTAATTTTTCTTTTTTTATAGAAAAAATATAGTATTTAAGGAGTGACCATGACAAATTGCAGTGAAAAACTTTGTGAAAGTTATATCTTTACATTCATTGAAGTTGATCTGAAATGCTACAAGACTAGATGCCTAGAAGCAGAATCTATAGGAAGACTATAAAGGCTTCTGGTCTCTCAATATTGCAGTCAGTCTAGAATAAAAGAAAACAAGTCGGAAATAAAAATTTCTTATGCTAACGAGTCCTTTTATTCACCCAGATAAAAAACCACAGTAACGATATTAGAGCCTGTGGAGCACTTTCATTATTTTGTTTGCACACAGAACTAAAGTTCACAATTGGTAAGAAAAATAGGAAGTTAGCAGCTTTGCATGCACCAAAAAATCCTAAGAAAATTCTCTAGGGTTTTTTTTTTTTTTTTTTCTTCTTCCACGGGCATTGCTAGTTCAAGAACCAACACTCAAGGAATACTGGCACTTAAGAGGAATAAAGCTTCCACTGTCATTTAAAACAAGCATTCAGGTTCATGAAGCAGAAAGAAAATTAAGTAATGCTAAATCAAATGCTAATAATTTAGTGTAATGTACAAAAAATCACTTTCTTAAGTATGCCTTAAGAATAAAGGATAAATTGTATTTACATAATTATACACTTTGTCTTTGTCTTCTTTTTCTTCTTTTTACCATCTTTACTCATCTTCTCTTTATGTTTTCGGATTTCTCGAACTAACGTGTAGAAGGCATCATCGACACCCTGAAAAGAAACATATGTGGCTATAAGACCAAATTAACATGATTTATGTACTCATTTGGATAGTGTTTGTTTTCATCTGAACACTGCAGGTTCTCATTAATGTTGCAGTTTAGTAAGAACATGTATATTGGTGTTGTAATGAAGTATGCTTTTTTTTTTTAAATAAACAGTGTCGATTTATTTAATTATTAATTTCTGTGCTTTTAGTGTTTGGGTTCTATAAATATAACAACAAGCACATACGTTGTCATTCAACAATCTTCATTGATTTTGGAAACCTTTTCATTTTTGGAAGTTGCCAGGTTAGTGTGGTTTTTTTAATATACACATTTTCATTTGCTACACAAGAAAGTGAGGCCCAGTTCTCCACTGCATTGTTCTTTATGAATTTCACATGTACAAAGTGGACATAAAATACTGCTATACCAGAGTAATAAGCCACACACCTGCAGAAGTAGGTCCCGAAATTGAGCCCTACAGGTAAAAACAAAAAGACTACTACCACTGGAGCTGAAAGAAGTTCTTTATCATCAGCTACAGACCCTTACATCCTAAAGTGCAAGCCGCAAATAAAGGGCAACATACACACTGTAAGTTCCTCCACCCACAACAGCTAAAAAGGGCAACAGCTAAAAGCCCTCTCATTGATACCAATAGGAGTAGACTGGGCCCCTTAAAAATAGTAACTGTGCTTAATTACACAGTTTTATTCAAATATAGTAGTGTATATGTTTGAGTAGATTTAGCTATAGAGAAAGTTTGAAGGATACGCCATTTAAAGAGATCTATATCTAAAAGCAAATAGTTCCTTCAAACAAATGTGCATTTACAATACATCAAAACAGCTTCAGTCCCTGCATACTTCTATGAGAGGATCGTTAACTAGAATAAAATCCTAGCCAGTCTGTACTTTACCAGTTCACACAAACATTGGCCATTTCTCCCTACCTCTCAGGGTTTTCACAGCAGAGTGCTCTAATAATGTTTCAGCATACTTAAGTACATTTACTAGTACACCATGAACTAGTCGAAATACAAAATAAACTGTAATGGTCAAAATAAAGTGTATATTGTGTCGTGCAGTACCCTGTTTTTTTAAATGTTTGTTCACTTTTTTAAAAATTAGAAATCAAACAATTAATTAGTGAGAATTAGTACTGTTCTGCTGTAAAACTCGGTCAAATGTTAATATCTGACTTACAACTCTGAAAGATAGTCAGAATAATGGCACAATATGAATCCATAATAACCTATATCTAGGGAAATAACCTGTATCTAGATAAGATACAGTGGTGCTGTAACTGGATATGCAATTTTAAAACATACATACTGCAGTATTAAGTCTCCATTATCCAACAGAGCAAAAAAGTGTATTACAGTTCGCTGCAAAGGGCCAAAGTCTCATGGTTAGAGTACAAGATTGGCATCAAGAGCGCTACATGCCGTTTTCCCACAAACTGCACCCATGAGCCTAAGCAAGATGACCACTCAGTACCTCAGTTTCCCCATCAGTAAAACGTAAGGAATACCATCTTCCTCACAGAGGAAGTCATTAACATTTGTAGAATGGTCTAAGAGTCTCAGATGAAAAGTGCTAAATGCAAGGTGTAACAGAACACTGAAACTTCCACAAAAAGATTCCACCCACTTTCTTTTAAGCTATTGTTAAAACAAATTCACAGAAATTAACCCATAAAAAGCGATATTCAAACAATATTAAGGACCTTAACCTCAAAGAAAGTAAGGAGATTCACAGTTAAGGCTGACATTCATTCTACCGTGCCTACTGCAGGTATTACAAAACAGGATAATTTTACATAGTGTGTATTACAAAACCTGTACACTAGGGGGAGACTTAAGTATGGCATTTCAGCTTACAGAATTGAATCCTTTGTTTTGCAGATCAAATCTTAAACGGTTCAGAGAATATTTGCATTCTACTGGTTTTGGTTCTGCTGTAAATGCTCTTTAATGCACCTACTGGCTGATAATTAGGTACATTGTATCAAGACTCAGTTCAAGAATCTTTTAAAGGTGAAAATAAAATAAAGAACCTTAAATTCAAAATTAACTTGAGGCCTTATTTTACCTTTCATTTAACCCCAGACACTTACTTGGGTTACCTGTAGATAAGGAACATTATTTCAAAATGTGGGTTGCAGCACACTGTCCTAGAGTTGAATGGGAAAGTTATCCAATGTCCTGCTTTACTCAATACTCCTCGAATAAAGAGTCAGTGACACTAAGCCACTTTCTAAGCAGACCTCCTCAAATGTGCTGGCAAAACTTATGAATTAAAATTTGCACATACGTCTACCCTTTAATGTGTGAGAAATTTCAGGTTCTACATATGCAACATGGATACACTTGACAATGTCACAAGAACAGCTAAGGAGGAGCCCCAAATCATTTGATAGTACTAAGTTTGGCTAACAGAATATTGCATATGGGAGTGTGCAACTATTTCCACAAATCACACAGTCTCTATGGCCTCCTACTGAAATCTCTCTGTGTACTGGGTTTTGGAATTCTCTCCCTAACCTGTGTCTTAGAGGTGGCATTAGATATTGCTGCCTTTTCTTCAGTCACCTTCAGTATATAGTTTTACTTTATTTAGCTTACTGTGTTTTAATGAAACATTGACTTTAAAGAAGTATTACAAAAAAATCATCTCTAAAGATTTCAACACTGGAAAGGATTTGTACAGAAATTCAGCAATCTGTTAGAATTCTGCCACACAGCATCATCCAGGACCCTGGTCTAAAAAGTATATATGCAAAATACAACAGTGTATGGTTAAAACAACAAGATGATAGTCTAGAAGTGTTTTTGATAGATATACAACTAAGCAGCAGTCACCTTATTCAGTTCAGCCGTGAGAAAATTCATTTAGTGCTCTATTCAGCTTAAGTCATATTTTAAAATTAAAAACAGTCAGTGTCTGGCAGGCTTCCTACTGGCCATGCTCCAGAAGGGAGACAGCTTAATTCACAATCAGAGAAGCCCAGCGTAGGATCATAAGTCAGCTTCTATCCTACATTCATACTAAGAAAATGACAATATTTAGACATTGTTTCAGACTTAAAGTAGTTGAACTGTTAAGTAGCTCTATGTCAAAATGCTCCTTTTTCCTATCAACTGGATTCTACCACAAGCTTTTTTTTTTTTTAAATCAGAGGACATAAATCAGCTTGTAGTACAGAAAGAAGGGTCTAATTGTAGTGTACTTCCAACATGGGAGGGGGACACAATTACCACACAATCATCATTTTTGGCTTGCAAATTTGCACACCTTTGGAGTTGGGTGGGAAGGCCATAAAATAACTTTGTTTACAGTCTGAAAACAATTAATGAACCCCTTAAAAGATTAAGTTGAAACATAGCTTCTATATTTGCATTTTTAATAAGACCATCACTGTGTCATCTCACTGCCTAATTTACAGTTAACTTTATGCTCAGATAGGCAATCAACTGTAAAATAATGCTACTGACTAACATTTTCAAGTAAGAACAACAAGGAGTCTGGTGGCACCTTAAAGACTAACAGATTTATTTATTACCAACTTCTATATGCTGACTTTGGACAAGGATCGAATCATCGATGCCGGACCGAAGGGCAATTACGCTCGATTTATGAACCATTGCTGCCAGCCCAACTGTGAGACTCAGAAATGGTCCGTGAATGGCGATACGCGGGTTGGGCTCTTTGCTCTTGTCAATATCAAAGCTGGGACTGAGCTGACTTTCAACTACAACCTGGAATGTTTGGGGAATGGAAAGACAGTTTGCAAATGTGGTGCTCCGAATTGCAGCGGGTTCCTAGGAGTACGGCCAAAGAATCCCCCTAACCTTACAGAGGAGAAGTCCAAGAAGTTCAAAAGACGGCAGCAGGTGAAGCGCAGGTCACAGGCAGAGGTCATGAAAGAGCGAGAGGATGAGTGCTTCAGCTGTGGAGACGGAGGGCAGGTAGTTTCGTGTAAGAAGACAGGCTGCCCCAAAGTGTACCACGCAGACTGCCTCAACCTGACCAAACAGCCAGCAGGGAAGTGGGAGTGCCCTTGGCATCAGTGTGATGTGTGTGGCAAAGAAGCAGCTTCCTTCTGTGAGATGTGTCCCAGCTCCTTCTGCAAGCAGCACCGGGAGGGCATGCTCTTTATCTCCAAACTGGATGGACGCTTATCGTGCACAGAGCATGATCCCTGCGGACCGAACCCTCTAGAGCCAGGGGAAATTCGTGAGTATGTGCCTCCCACAGTCCCGCCGGCTAGCCGTCAAAACACGCAGCCCTCTGACCATCAGCCTGCAGCCCTGTTAGTCTTTAAGGTGCCACCAGACTCCTTGTTGTTTTTGTAGATACAGACTAACACGGCTACCCCCTGATACTTGATTTTCAAGTAAGGTATCTTTTGTAGTTTTTACATTAGTTAAAACATTTTGTTCATCTGTCACAGGCAAAGTCAGCCAAATGCACGTAGGTGTCTCCTGCTTTATGGCATAACACCAAAGGAATTTTATCCTTCAGGAGAGTATCAGCAGGTAGGCATACCAAGCTTCCACAAGCTAGCTAATCCAGAACCATCATGATTTTTTTAAATCTTTAAAAAAAAAAGTGTCCCATGATGACCAAGAGAGGGAAGTACATACACCAGGACAAGTATAATGAAATAACAAATGTATTCTGGACCAACATTGCTGGGCTTGGTTGGCTGACAAGAAAGAAAGCACTTGACACTGCATTTAGTTGCAAACAGTTCTATTGTGAGTTTTCCCAAGGTTCTGGATATCTGCTGAAAGGCTTCAGTCTTTGGGGACCATTCTCCTTGGATCTGCTTAGCCGGTCTGCTGTACAATTAAGCTGTCCCAGAACAAGTGGAGTCTTACTGAGAGGAGAATAAAGGTATGTCTATACAGCAAAAAACAAAACATAACCCCCACACTCAGCAGCAAGTCTCAGTCTGGGTCTACAGTTCTGGGCTCTCAGGGCTTTGGCTACAGCACTAAAAACAGCTGTGCAGGCTGAAACCCACCACCCTTTGAAAGCCTGAGCCCAAATGTCAACATAGCTATTTCTAGTGCCATAGCAAGAGTCTGTAGAGCCAGGCTCTGAGACTCTCTGCCGGGGGGAGGGAGGGAGCTTTTTTGACGTGTAGACATACCCTAAGAAAGGGCAGACTCCTTAGCAGGGTGGGTTATTTGTGCCACCCTGATGATTCAGGTATTCAGCTAGTGATGTGCCATCAGACTTTATGAGCACGTTTTCTCCAGATTAGCCTTCTAAATGCTAAGATTGCTAACATGACTGATCACACCTCAAGGGCATATAGGTGGAACTTATTTTCACTTAATGATCATGTTTCCCTGGAGCTCCTCAAACCAAACAGGCTTGCCTCTCAGGCAATTTATATTCTGACTAAGCATCAGGGAGGATGGAACCAGGTGTCCAGAAATTTGTCAAAAGGTTTCTCCTGATCTGGGGGGAAGACTACTATTCTGGGAAGCAAGTGAAGAGAGAAAGGATACCCTCAAGACGCATAGAAATGGATCCAAGAGTCTGAGGAGATTCTCAGTGGGAAGGACACAAAGAAAATGAGATTCCAGCCTCTCTTTCCCAAGCAAGTCCACAGAGAGAAAAGGTCAACACAGCCCAAAATCTTTGCTTAGGGGTGAGAAGGAAGGCTTGGGTCTACTTCCAGGTACATGCACAAAAGAAAGCTGCCCCTTTCCAAAATACCAGAACTAAGCTTATACTTAGGAAGTAATCTCCAGCGTCTCTCTCTCTCTCCTGTATCCTAAGTGCAAAGGCGTGACTACTTTTCCTTGAAGAAAAGGCTTAGGGAAATACAACTGAATGCGTTTCTCTTAAAAAGGGGGGGAAAAGTCTATCCAGTTTGAAGTGAACAGCTATCGTACAGAGCTCAGATAAGCTATTGTCCCACATCATGGCCAAATCCATAATGCCCAGTGAGCCACTAGGGAGGAGAAGATGACATTAGTGGAATATCTAAGGGACTCCTGAGGAACAGCATTCAGGCTATTCTCAGCTAAAGGGACTAAGCCTATGTCAGCAAAATTTATGTCGCTCAAAGGTGTGACTATTCCACCCCCTCCCGAATGGCATAAGTTACACTGATATAAGAACTTCTCCCGCCGACATAGCTTCTGCCACTTGTGGACGCAAGTTTTTTATGCTGATGGGAGAGTGCTCTCCCATTGGCAGAGCGCGTCTTCATCAGACGCGCTGCAGTGGTACATCTTTATCAATATTTCTAAAACTTTCCTGAGAAGGGAAGAATAGAAAACCTTATATTGTAATGCCAACAGCCAGCAAATAACTCATCTGGAAACAAGTCTGTGTGGAACTTTCTAGCAGTAAACTCCAAATTCAATACAAAGAAAACCTTTAAGCCAATATACTCCATAAATGACATATCTTTTTTGAGCAAGGCATAACTGCAGAATCCAGTCTAGGTGAGGAGAGTCATTTATCCCTCAAATCTTCTGGGAGCATATATGGCCTGTGCAGATTTAGCAAAAATCTGGGTGTGAGGAGTGATGAAGGTGCTCTGCATGATCTGCTAGACTGATGGATGGACTAGAAGGGAATCCTGAACAAAATGAATAAAACCACACAACCATGTTATTTTCAATCCTCTTTAAAGACTTTATTCCTTAACAAGTGCTGGGGGTCAACTCAGACACTAAGTCATAAGATACTTCTCCCTTCTCTGAACAGTGACTCACCAAAGAATTTATAGAAGTTTGGGAAAGGACAGTGCCAAGCAATGAAGAGACTTTTACTAAGAGACCAGTACTGACCCTTTGGGAACCTTTCTCAAAGCCTTTATAGGAACTCCTGGGAGGAGTTCAAAGTCCCCCAGTAAGATTTAAATTCAAACACTTTACAGGCCAGAGGAAAAGGAACTGGGGAACTCAGTGACATCCCCTTCCTCATGAAGTCTTCAAGTACTACTTCCACCTAAGTCCGCGGCTATTCAAGGGAGGACTTCTTTCCCCTGTATATGAACTGGATGGGCTGGCTTTGTCAGTCACGGCCAGAGGAACTACCCTCAGCCACTATCTCATTATGCCAATATTTTGGAGAGAACCTCTATGCAGCTTGGTTTTTCTTTCATAGAAATCACTTCAACCACTAACTCACTCCAATGAGATTGTGGAATTTTTTCCCTCCTCGGATAAGATAAAATGCTCATGATCCCAATGGCAAAGCACAACTGCCAAGAGCCACAGTTGAGGTGGAGTTTCTCTTTTTCCTTAGCTTTCACAGCTTTCACTCGCGGAGCAGGAGAGCACTTCCGGGATCGATCCAGAATCGATTTATCGCATCTAGACAAGACGCGATAAATCGATCCCAGAAGATCGATTGCTTACCTCTGGACCCGGAGGTAAGTATAGACCTACCCAGAGAATCAGCAATTTGAAGATCTATCCCTGGCCTTCACTACTGTGGAATGTACAAATTTTTCCTCAGAACACTCCCCATGAAGTTGGCACATATCATGATACCCATTTTACAGACAACTGAAACACAGAGATTAAGTAGCTTGCCCAAGGTCACTCAGAGTATGGATCTCCTCCTATCCATTTGTCAAAAATCACAAAACAGGACAGACTAATAGCTGCTAAGTTATTGTTTAAAAAATACTCTATTGCTAGGAAACCAAAGCTCAAAACTAAATGTTAATAAAGGAAAATAGAAGTTTGATTAATTTTGTACTTAATATTTTGAAATTATATAGTTACTACTGAGAAGCCATAAGATATCTGATTTACGTGAAACTGATTATCAGTTTTTCTGCCCAAAATTAATTTGCAAAACTTACCCTATTACAAAACTTACCCTGTTACATTACAAGACATTTTTTAATTTTCACGCACCCTGGAGTCTTTTCTTCTTTGCTGATTTTTTTCACTCTGTACTGTCGAATCTCTCGCACCAATGTATAAAAAGCATCCTCCACTCTCTGCATTGTAAAACACAACTCCTTAAAATCTGCTTTATTGACAGAGATGATGTACTGGGACACCCATCACAGAAAAAACACTGAAAGTATGAGCTTTACTTGAGAAATGTAGGTATATGGAGCACAAGTAATTCTAAGGGCTGTGTTCATATTGAGTCTGCAGACAGAAAGCAAGAGCCTGCCTATCAGAGAAAAGGAGGAGCACCATGTCTATACTGTCACAGATAGATTCCGTGGCTCCATGTTCTTTAATTGATGCTCTCTACTGGAGATATCCCTGTCTTGTTTTAAAGGTTAGTTTTAAGACTTATTTCTGTACCCAATTTTGCTAGGGAAAACATTTGTCATTTATGCATTTTTAAAAACATCTTTAGAGAGAGGTAAGTTTGGCTTGATAACTGTTATCTTTGGTCAAGTGGGTGCGTAAGCTACTGTCTACTCTTCTTTAAAGCAACAAGATTTGCCCTCATGTAGATCTCTACATGAGCGCTTTACATCAGGGAAGGTTATGCTACATATTTCAAGAACAGATACAAAGAAACATCTACTCATATGGGCAGTATTTAACTCAATGCTGTATTGTTCAATTTTTAAAGTGACCACAGGTTGGTTGTTATGGGGAGGGGTTTGGTGCGTTTTTTGTTTGTTTTTTAAAAATGGAACTCATTTGCCAGCCAAGGTACAAGTACTGTTAGCCCTAATTTTATCAGAAGAATATATTTGGATGAAATACATAGAGTCTCCCTTTAAAATAATGTGCCTTGAATTAAATGTTCTGAAATAATGAGTCAACAATTTACACCACACCAGAAATAACATGCATATTATCGCTCGTAAGTTATTTCTCCAAAGTAGAGAAATAGTAAGTTCTGTTACAGATTGTAGGATGAAAAGTTCATAAGTTACCACAAAAAGTGGCTTTAGTCTACACTGTCTGAGCCAGATCCAGGCAATTGCTATGGTACCTTTGCAACATGGTGGTGCAGAGACTGTAAAGCTGGCCACATCAGCCAGAAAAGGAATCCCCTATCATGAGGGCAATCTGAGTAGCACAGCCACAATAGACAACTCTATAGCACCCACTCTCTCTCTCTCAGCTCTGTGTTTAGGACATTGTGAGAATATGCCATCTCTTCAGCAATAAAAGAAAAACTGGGAGAAAACCTGAGATAACTAATCAGTTGAAAGACAGAAAGGTGTATCATCAACCGAAAATTGGCAAATGGCTATTTCAGAGAACTGCAGGTGATTGGTTCTGCCAAACTTAAAGGCCCACTGAAATCTACAGGACTGTTTTAAGTTGCATTGGAGCCCAAAATGTCTGGCCCCAGGACTGGGTAAACAAACAGGTAAGCCACCTTTTTGTTTACCCTCTCCTGGAGCCAACCTTTTTGGGTGAGCCTTTAAATTTGGCAGAGCCAATCAGCTGCAGCTCTACCTACCTCTCAGGTCCTGCGCTGAGCACAGCTCTTCCAGCTCCAAGGATTGGGGCCTCTGCTTTCCGTAAACAGATTTAACTTTAGTTGAGAAGAACACATTATACCGGTTTACCTCAACTTCAATCTACCTTGGCTAATGCACACAGTCTGCCCCAATAATTTTTATAATTAAAGTTTTAAACCTTTATTAAGAATTATTAAATTGTCTAAAAGCATATCTATGCACTGTGCAACTGAGATCAGCAGAGAATCCTAGGAAACAAAAATAAATCATCTAATATTTACTGATATTGCTATTAACTCTACTTTGCTATATACGATGCCACAGGAGATCATATTTAAAATTAATCATTCAAAAGTCAGAGTTTGCTATCTGAAGGTTTCCCTGAACAGCAGCCATTTCTGAAGATGAAACACACTGTACTTTTGTTTGTTTGTTTATGGATAAATAAAATAAAATTAAGCTCAAGAAATAAAATCTATCCTCTTCAGAAGACGGGGAGCTTAAATTCATATCCACAAAATACTGATGGCCTGATGATTCTTATATTTAAAAATCTAGTAGTTTGTAGAAGAACATTTACAAAAAATGTAAGCCAAGTAAAGCTCATATTTTCATGTTTTCCTGGGAGGTGTGGGGGGATCTTATTCACACAGAGAGAATAAATAGTGATCAGCTGCAGCGTGCCAGAGCACATGCTGTGCAGAAATCAAGATAATTAGGGTTTACTGTTTTGCAGAAGAAATATGAAATTTGATTCTGTAGCTGTGATATCAGAAAAAAGACAATGCGCCTTCATTTGACTTCATAATGCCAATGTCCCCATCACCAATAACAGGAGGTGTGATTTTGCATTAGCGATGCAGAGAAACACACAGAGAGAAAAGAAGTTGCTACGACCACCACCAAGAACGTAACATTAGGACTCTAGTTAACAGGAGTCATACTAGAAAGAACATCTTTTAACAAGAGATATTTAACTAGTGTGACAATCTACACAAGGGACAATTTTTAAAAAGAGTCAGTCACCACAGTGATATGTTTAAAAAAGCAACTGTAATACTTTTTTTAAAAAACTTTTGCATTACTGTTTCTCTTTTAGGCTCACTTCATAAAGTTAATAAATTGATGGTAATTCAAGGTCATAGTGGCACCACCAGAAAGTAAAAAAAATAGCCCTTTTCAGTATGTCAACACTTTTCTTTAAGCAATTACAAAATTAAATATATCACATACTCTTTAATGGAGAAGTTCATATGTCTGTAGAGTACTGGTCTACTTTAAACACATTAAAGGCCCATGACACACAAGACCTTGCAGCACAGTGTATTTGAGATGCTGTTGAAGACTCCTCGTACATAGCCAGATGGCTAATTTAAAATGTGACTATTTACAAAAATAAAAGGCTATTTGAACATAGGCCAGAATGCCTACAGTATATTCATATATTGTCCTTTTGCAAATAATACTTTAAAAACATCTAGTGCAGGGTGAATAAAAATCAGTTTAAAAAAAACCTAAAAATTGGATTTTTATTTAAACTGGATATTTTTAATTTAAAATAAATACAAGTTTATTTTTAAAAAATAGATTTAAAATTAAATTTGAAATTGACAACCTAGGTTAAGGCCTTCACTTAATAAAATCATTTAACTAAACAAAAAATATCAAGACAGTACACGTTTGCTGTCAAGTTGTAAAGAAAGTAAAACCAATGGATTGATGGAAGTCACTGGCTAAGCACTTGGAATCAGAGTTTGCTTAAGTCTAAGTTAGCTTCTGACAGCAGTAGCCTCTTCTGTAGGTGCAGAGAGACTATTTTCCTCATGTGAGTTATTCAGTTCAATTACTAGTTCATTCAAAGTTAAAAACATCAACTGGGAGTTGAAAGAGCAACAAAGCTTGTTTTCCCTCTTCCAATGTATGAATAAAACAACGTATGATAGGATGTGAGCACTACTAATTCTAAAATCTTGAAGGACATGTCTGAAAACAATCAGTTCAATTCATTAACTACATATAATACCTCCTTTGTTTAATAAATCAATTTTAAATGCAAAATACTTTAATAAGAAAAAGTTTATGTATCCAGCACATTTAAGGTAGTTTTATTTAATTATTTTTTTAAATGTCCATCCAAGTAGATCTTGACACAAAACACAAGTAAAAAAATTAATCATTCACCATTTTCCAACATAATAAAAAATGTAAAAATTGAGAATTTGAGTGTCAGTTAAGCTATATAAATGCTTAAATAAATACATATTGATACAGTGTATCCTCCTGGATAACAAAAAGAAAAAAATTAGTGTAAAGGCTCTATGTAGTTGTATATCAACATGTTTTAATGGTTACCAATAGATGACCATGAACCTTTCTTTAGAAAAATAACCAGAGAGAACAAATGCAAATCAAGATTAAAAGAAACTATTTAATTGGTTTCCTGTTTGTGGATTTAAATCATGGTTAAAATTGGTGATTTGAATCACTAATTTAAATCACTCACCCTGCAAACTGAACACTCAGAATTAGTGAGTATTTTTTATCTTAATCTCTCTATGCCACAGCTGCTCATCTGTAATATGGTAATAAATAATGCACCCTCATCTTACAGGTGTATTGTAAAATTCATAAATATTTGTGAAGCACTCAAATGGTATAGTGATGAGTGCCATAAGAAGCCCATGAGAAAATGAATAATTCTGTCTTCAGACGTGTACAGCAAATAAGGCCCAGGGCCACAAATTTAACAATGAAGATAAAACAAAATATTAAACAGCTACTCATTAAGTGACCACCATCCATCCTGTGCACTGAGTAAGGCATGGGGCCTTTGGGAAAAATATAATACATGATCATGTAATTAAAGATTGCCTCAAAATCCATATACACAAGGGGAACAAATTAAGGTTCCTAACGTATGAGTGTTTGCCTTTGCAACCTTAATCATGTTCTTTTAATAGTGTTTGGATGTTTTGTTTTGTGTGATTTCCAAGGTTATTTTAAAAAAGCAAACTGAAAAAAAAAATATGGCATGTATACCCTGGCACCTATATGGGTCATAGGCAGAGTTGGAACCTTTAGATCCATCACACAGACCTCTGCCACTTAGCAGTAGTACAATATCATCTTTGTGGACCAGCACTAGAGGGGAATAAGATACCCCTTTTGCCAGGGGATTTCACAGATATGTGCTGACAGCAAAGGAATGGCACGACTCAGGAATCTTAGGTGCCATTCCAGGAATATCACTGACACAAAGTATCAGAGGGGTAGCCGTGTTAGTCTGAATCTGTAAAAAGCAACAGAGGGTCCTGTGGCACCTTTGAGACTAACAGAAGTATTGGGAGCATAAGCTTTCGTGGGTAAAAACCTCACTTCTTCAGATGCACCATCTCCCAAATTTCAAGTCCCTGCTCCAAAGCATGGGGGTTACAAATATATGCTCACTAGATTTTTTTTTTTTTTTAAACATGAGCAAAACAATGTATTTTGCCCTAGCTTTATTCTCAGAAATGTCTGAACTACTTTGGCTGAAATTTCCCCCCAAAAAACACCAACCTGAGACAGACACCAGGCATGGAAAATTTTAACTGAATAGTTGAAGTTGGAAAAAATTACAAGCAACTGAAAACAGGGCCTTAAGGGAAGTGTGGGGCAACCTTAATATGTCATGCTACCAGTCCCTCATAATAAAATATAATAGCTGCATACTATACATAGATAAGGTACCATTATTTTACATAGATCTTTGGCATGATACCTGCAAATGGCAGGCTGGTTCAAGTAACAATTTTTTATATTTAAGTTTTTTTATTTCTACAGCCCTAACCTGACAGTGAGAAGTGCACAAGTGGAGTCCTGTAAATGGAACACCACTTACTTCACTAGAACTCCCAGTATGAGCTGGGGTTCACCTATGTGGGACTTATGTGTTCATACAACAGACAAAAATAAAAAAAAAAGAGTAATTAGTCATTTATATCAACTCTTAAATAAAATGTTTTCAAAATCTGTCTAAATATGCATTCTCCACAATAAATCAAGCCTTTTGTGGCTAGTGTTACAATTCAAGGAATTCTCACCCACAGATACACCCTCACCCACACTCTCCTTTTAATCAAATACTATGATGGGAGTTGGAAGAGAAATTAAGTAACACAGAAGGAAAACGTACAACCCTAGGTTCAAACACATTTTGGGCTCAGTCCTGAAGTTACTCTTTGTGCATCTCCTATAAAAGGTAAAAAAGTACTTGCAATGGTTGCAAAATCTAGCCTTAAAAACAAAAATCATCCCTAGTTTAAAGAGGTGCAACTCCTTTTGATTTCACTAGGAGCTGCTTCCTCATATGCCAAGGCTGAATTGATTCTACGAGTTAAGTCAAACACATAGAAAACGAAATACAGAGGGCAAGATGTTATGTTATTTATGGATGTCAGACTTATTTGATGCAGAAGGCCAATTTTTATTTTTTTATTTATTTTTTTTTAATTATGGTCCATGAACAGGGATATAAATTATGGCGTCAATCCCACTGCAAAACTCCTGCTGATTTTAATGTGAAGTTGGCACAAAAATGGAGAATGTGACCTTTCTGGAGTAACTAAATCTTCAGTTTTTTGTTAAGTACCTTGTTGTCACATTCAATATCACTTTGAAAAAATATACACACCTTTATGACCATTCTTATTCCTGCTCATCCTTACCCTCCTTTCAAAAATCTCTCTGGCCTTCTCTATATAGTCTATGTGCTGATTTAAACTAAACTAGCACCAAAAACTGAAGTGGAGAATTAATGCAACCCCCTAGTATGGACAATGTTATATCACCATAAAGGTTTATACCTGCAGCTGCAACAAAAACTGTGTATGGACAAGCCCTTTGTCTCTCTCCTCTCTGCTCCACTCTATATTTTTTCCCTTCAGAAACTCCCAGCTCCCCTGGGGCTTCACATTCAGCCTCTTCCCTCATTCTATCTGCTAAAATAGTCAGCAATTAAATAGTTAATGTTGAAGTGTCATCATTGACTTTTAGAGCAAATGCACCAATGAGATTAAGAGAGGGGTGGGAAATTTCTACCTAATTGTTTCAGGCTTTCTGCAGCCTCCAAAACACATCACTGCATCACTTAGTCTGTTCATGTTTGAAAGGCAGTCTTTGCAACCACGAGGACTAAAAATCTCTCTTAAATGAAAGCTTAACTTCTACACAGTCTGAATATTTCATGTGGGCTAGATGTGGCCCACAGGCTATATATGTTTGACACCCCTCATTTAAAAAGAGTTATTTTGAGAGAGAATTTTTCTCTCTCTCTCACACACACACACACACACACACGGATGGAGTGGAAATCCATCAACCTCAACAAAAAACTTGCACAGATACAGACAGACATCATCTTCCTCTCCAAATGCAAACAGATTGACATCATACCAAAAGGACTGAAGGTAAAAAATCCATTACACACACACACACACACACTCTCTCTCATTAAAACATTAAAGGTAGCATCTTGGTAAAATTAAAGACAATGTTCTTCATCCAATTCCCTTTTGACAACATTTTCTGTGTTTGAGACTACATCATTGTGGTTCCATAAGAAGGTACTTAATCTATAATGATATTGTTGATTTACCAAAAATAAAAATAAAGATCTAATGATTCAATTCCTAGAAGGCAAGATTTTCAAGAGTGACTAGTTATTTTGGATCCTAAATTTCTGTGTTTCAAATTTAAGACACCTTTAAAGAGGCTTTATTTCCCCAAGGATGTATGCTCAGGGCCTCTTTAAAACATCTCACATGGACACTCAAAATTTAAGCACCCAAAAATTAGTAGTATCTGACCAAGATTTTCAAATGTGACAATGGAAAAGCAAAAAGAACAGGAGTACTTGTGGCACCTTAGAGACTAACAAATTTATTAGAGCATAATTTCATCTGTATTTAATCAGGCTAGTATACTGTCTTTTAAAATCTACATGAATGTTGGGCATACGCTCTTTAAAAGTCTCCTATTAAGAGGTAAAAAAATCAAATATCAAATAGATTTGTGACAATTCTTAAACTGAATTGTAAGCAAAGATAAAACTGCACAGATTTTTGAATGGTGATCGAACAAGCAATTTTGTATCAGGCAAGCATGAAAAGAAAAGCGGGTAAGCACAAAAAGAAATCAAAGGCTAGGTACGTTAATTATGTTTCTGTTTTGAAATGTATTCCTAAGAAGTAATTTCAAACTTGTTAGCAATGGGTTCTATAAAAGCTATCTTGGAATAGGAAAGGGGAGGTAGATTTCTGTAACAAAGATCATTGTTTAAGAAAGTAAAACAAAAAATTACAACACTAAATGATAGTACAGAATTAATAGTCCACAGCAGTATTTGTTTGCTGTTTATTTCCTAATTTTTTCATTTTTGTCCTACCTAGTGTCTTGTTAATGAGACACACGCAGGACCTCCCAGACAGGAATATTGTAACTTCTATATTTATTCAGCCAGTTTGTATGCCACTTGGCTTACTTAAGACACTTCTTCTAGTTTACCCTCTAGTCCTAAAGTTTTATGACTTTGGAATCTTCCTTGACATAGGTTTATGCTCCAAATATTACTGCACATCCAAATTTAGAACTCCTGAATTTTCTTCTCAATGAATTTTACTCTCTATTTAGAAGTTGCATGAGTTAGTCCATTAGGTTAAAGATGGTCAGAAAACTGGGTAGTAGTGGCAAAATAGCATAATTTGATTAATCCGGACATTCTGTGGATGTGTAAAATACATAATTTATACATGGATTTCTAAGGAGTTCTACCCACTGGTGTAGGGATGAATCCACCACCTGGGCAGTGTGCAACAACATTCCCCTTTGAGACAGCTTCTTTCCTTCAATAGCCCTATTCTGATTCTAAGCATAAATTACACTTTTTTGCTAGCCAAGAACAAGAGCTCAGAACTCCAGAACCCTGGTTAATTGTCTGACTGCTCAACACGTGATTCATGTCCTTCACACCGTCTTTTTTTTTTTTTTTTTTTTTAAGTTGAAACACACTCTCAAACTATTAAAATCAAGTAAAACTTGAAGAAATATGCTATTGCTTAGTAGCTGAATGCAACAGAGGCCCGGGTCTCATTCCTTAAGTCTGAACTATTGAAATGCATCATTGATCAGTGAACGAGTACCAGTTGTCTGGGGGTCCACAGAATGACAAAACACCACAAATTTTCCTCTAGAGAAATATGCATTAACACCAAAATTTGGCAGTTGCTGGAGTTTTGAATGCTCTGGTACTTTCACGATTCAGTTCTTGAAATTCTGCTTGTGTGTCTTTGTTTTGAACTTTACCTGTCTTGTTTTTGCTGATGTTTCAATGAAAGGAATTCCATAACTTCGTGCTAAGTCCTGAGCTTGTTTTGTATCTACTGTTCTGGAAGGTAAGTCACATTTGTTTCCTACTAGCACCATGGGGACATCTTCAGAATCTTTAACTCTTTTTATTTGTTCCCTAAAATAAAATGGAAAGATTTCATTTCAATACTTTTAGTAGTGTTAATACAGTAGAATTTTAGGGGAGGAAACAAAATGCAGTTAGACATTTCTATTATTTCCAAATGGGTCAACACTACATCATAGTTTCCTTTTATTTGATGTGTACATTATTTGAAACTTTTCAATAACGGTTAAACTAGGAGATACTACTGCCTTTCCCCCCAGATTTAGCATTTCAACTAAAAAAAAAAAGAGCATAAATATTGGTCACATGGTTATTGATAGCGGTGGGACTCCAAGAGCTAAAATTACATGAGTCCTGATTCCATTTACACTACACCTGCTTTACTTTTATCCCCACTTTAGAGTCCTTTCACATTGCCAGAGCAACATAAAGGGCCTCTGTGTGGATGAGAATCAGGCTCAGATAGTGTTCTTGTTTTATTCCCCAGGGACTTTGTCCCATTTAGACAAAACTCCTACTCCTGTCTGGTGGAGTAGTGCAATAGCAAAGTCATAAAAGTCTATCTTAATTTTACAATATTTGAGCTCTCTACCTGAAGAGATTAACAAAACAGCAGAATCAAAACTCGATTATTTGGTAGGAAAAGATCTCCAAATATGCTGCAAGATCTTATTTACTAGGGTTCTTAACTGTAAATGAGGTGTGATGGCTTTTGTGAGCAATGGCAAAGTTTATGAGGAAACTGTCCCCTCCTTCCCACTCCTCTTCTTGGCCAGGCAACATGAGCAAGTAATTTGTTTCCAAGGCTAGCATCAGAGGCACAGTTGATTTGCTCCTCTTCTAAGAGCTCGCCTACACTTGCGGTGGCATGTAGGGTACACGTAACTACACACTGCAGTGAAAAGCAGGCTGCGTCCATGCTGACGTTTAGATACATGTGGCAGTTAAAGGGTCTGGTGGGGAGAGGCACGGGGAGCCCTTCCCTACAGCCCTGGGCAAAGCGTCCACCCCACCCTCCCTGCCAGAGCCTTTCCCCATTTCCCAGGCAGAGCCTTTTCCCTCCACCCTGCAAGTGACACCCACCCACTCCCCTGCCAAAACTTTCCGTGCTGCCTCGCACCACACCACACCCACCAGAGCTAGGGTTACCATACGTCCGGATTTTCCCGGAGGGAGCCGCTTGGCCCGGGGGGCCGGACTGGGCCACGCCGCGCCCTGCCCCAGCTTACCTGCTGCCTCCCTGTTTCAGGCTTCCCATGAACATTTGATTCGCGGGAAGCAGGGGAGGGGGAGGAGCAGGGGGTGGAGCGTTCAGGGGAGGGGGCAGATTTGGGGCAGGGACTTTGGGGAAGGGGCAGGGGCAGGACTGGGGAAGGGGCAGAGTTGGGGCGGGGCCAGGGCCCCGTGGAGTGTCCTCCTTTTTTAAAATTAAAATATGGTAACCCTACCAGAGCCTCTCTCTACAGTGTCACCCCCTCGCTGAGACTTTCCTGACGCCCCGGCGCAGCGCAGCATTCACCACCACCAGAATCTTTCCCCGCTGCCTAAGCCTTTCACTGTGGCAGGAAAAGGCTCCAGCAGCAGGACACTACACTAACAATAGCAGTGCAGACATGGGATGCACTGCTTGGGCACGTAGAGAACCGTACAGGGTACAGATCCTAATGTTCTGGCATGTGTGTACTCCACTCGTCTAAGCAATGCCCCACCATCTATACTGCTATTTATACCTGTACTAGCTGTGCATGCAGTCTGTACTCTATATACCGCCATAAGTGTAGACACAACATTAGTGTCTCAATTTACTGTCTTCCCACATTTAGAAAACATGCAAGGTTCTCAAGAATTGTTTATGATCAATGTTTTATTGTACAGCATTTTTGCTGATTGATTATACTGCCTGACATCCTTTTGCACATACTATCTCAGCTTTTTTAACCAATAAAATACTATTAAAAACCCACAATAGCTGGCATGTATTAAAATCAATACTGCTGACATCTATGCTAGGGGGGCGATTTTAAGATCTGTCTCTTTAAATCACTGATTTACTTTTCTCTGAGACTTTCTTTAGTAAGGGGATCCCTCTTCAAATACTAGTTAGAATGCATCTTTCAAATACTGGATTAAAACTATTTGGCAAGACAATGATGTTGCTGAAAGAATCTCCACAGATAATGCCAATCACTAATTTAATTTGTTTCCCACCCAGACAGTCTGGAAGTTTACTCCTTAATTAACATAGCTATGGTTTCTTATCTTTCCAGGTATTTAGTTCTGTGAACCTTCAATCTCAGATCACAAGCTCATTCACTGATGTGTGAACATAAGAATTCAACCCTTAATGTTCTGCGGGGAGAGGTTGTATAACAAGAAGCCTTCTTACATAATTACAGTTGTGCTCTCTGCATTATCTCTGTAAGAAGGGTTTAAAAGCCATACCATATAACTCAAAATACGGAAAGCTATGTTCCTTTTACTGTTAAAGCAAGAATAAAAATAAGTTTGCTATAACCACACAGGAAGTCCTCTGGACTGGTGGTTGAAGCATGAAGGGATACATGAATCTTTAGCGCATCTAGCAGGTAAATACGTTACAACAACAGCTACAACAGTGCCATGTGAATGCCTGTTCTTGTTCACAATGTCACCTGAAAGTGAGAAGCAGGCAGCATTATCTCCTGCAAATTGTAACCAGCCTTGTTTGTCTGAGTGATTGGCTGAACAAAAAATAGGATTGAGTGGATTTGTAGGCTCTAAAGTTTTACATTGTTTCATTTTTGAATGCACTTTTTTTTAAATAATTCTACATTTGTAAATTCAACTTTCATGATAAAGAGATTGCACTACAGTATTTGTATGAGATTAATTTAAATTTTTTTTTGTTTTTTACAGTGCAAATATTTGTAATCAAAAATAAATATAAAGTAAGCACTGTACACTTTGTATTCTCTGTTGTAACAGAAATTACTATATTTGAAAGTGTAGTAAACATCCAAAAATATTTAAAATAAATGGTATTTTATTGTTAACAGCGCGATTAATCATGATTAAAAAAATTAATCATTTGACAGCCCTATATTTTTCTCATGTGCCTTGCCTCCCCTCTCCCCCAATGTGGGCTTGCTAGTTATACAAACCACAAGATTAGGTTGCTTAATGCACTGTATGTGGGACTAAACAGAGACAATTCTTAAAATGAATCTAGTACAAGAGGTGAACTTAGAATGTCATGGCCGTGTTTCACATTGGGAGCACATTACTCTAGCGCTCTGGGATCTGCATTGGCTTCCAATATGTTCCTAGGTTGAATTCCAGGTGATGATAATTTATTAAGTCACAAAAGGTTTGAGACTTAAGTTTCCTCTAAGCTGCGTGGCCGCGCAGCTGCCTATTAAGCTCCACACAGGGGCTCCGGGCCATGGCGGGGAGAGGCGCCCCAACCCCAACACAGACCTGCCCTGGACTTGCAGAGGGAAAGGTGCCCCTCCCCTGGCTCCAACTCAGCCCTGGCACGGATCTGCCATTCCCAGGGGAAAAGCGCCCCTCTCCCCCAGCCCAGGTGCTGCTGCAGGGGGAGAGAGACTGGGGGGAGTCCTCTCCCCCACTGTAACCCCTGGGCAGCCTGCACCCCAAACCTCTCCTCTCTGGTCCCACCCCAGAGCCTGAACCCCCAGCTGGAGCCCTCACCCCCCCCCCCACACCACACACACACCGCAACCCTCTCGCCCCA